AGGATATGTATGTGTATAGCAAGGGCGAGCTGTGGCATACGATAAAGCAAAAACCCACACAAAAATCCTAAAATCCTCGGAAATACACACCGCCACGGCGTCATACTCTTCAGGTTTAGGGGTGTAGGGGTTAAGGGTTTAGAGTTCAGTGTTTAGGAGTTCAGGTTTAGGGGCTTAGGGTTTAGGTGTTTAGGGGTTTAGGGATTTAGGGGTTTAGGGTTTAGGGGTTTAGGGTTTAAGGACTTAGAGGTTTACGGGGCAAAGGAGTCTTTTGGAGGTGTACAGGGTGTACAGGGTTCTAGTTTAGGGAATGGTGGTATAAGGATAGATAGGGTCAGTATTACGGTAAACTCCTAGTATCCCCCTTGGTAACCTCTATAATAGTCCCCTATATAATCCCCCATATCACTCCCTTTAAGGAGTTTAGACTACAGCTCATATAAGTATGGCTTCGCGCAGCTCTGGAAACCACCATATAGGGTTATTGTGGAAAAAGGTGTTCCCCATAAGGAATAAAATGAGCCATCAAGCAAAACTCATAAACCCTGATCAGAAGCACCTTGAACACGAACACGCAAGCGACTGCCCAGAAGGTACCCTCCCCCAAACTAAGATACAGCTTAGTTCTAAGAGGGCACGAAATCCCGAAAGCCTAGACGCTAAGAACCCTAAGCCCTAAACCCTAAACCCTTGAACCGCTAAGCCCTTAACGAACCAGAAAGTACAAAGAATCCAGCAGCGTTGAAGAGGGATGCAAAGTAGGAGGCCAAAGCCGACGACTTCGCCTAGATCTAAGATTAGGGGTTTAAGGTTAGGATTTACAAGGGTTTAGGGTTTAGAGAATGAAGGCTGCATAGGGATTACTGGGGCTTTGCAAGGAGTATTGGTGCTACGTGCGGGTCATACGTCGTCATGAGGATTACATGTAGGGGCCTGAATTGCTGAATTGGAGGTAGGGCTTCCAACCATTTTGGGAATACGCTTACCCTGAACCGTAAACCCTACACTCTTACATATATGGACAGGGAGAGATAATCTCCTCAACTATTCCGCTGCTACACCTCGAAACCGACAAGACGTGATCATTGACTGGGGACTTCCCAAAATTAAGGGTCCCTTTGAGAGGGGATATGGGGGTCATGTAGGTAGGGGTATAGTGGGACATATAGGGTTAGTGTGTCTCAAAATTAGGGGTACCATTTGGGGGTCCCTATCATAAGGATTATGGGGGTCTATATAGGGGTCCACCTATCTATGGAAACTAGTAACTGGCAAAATTGTAGTGAGCTACAGGTTGTTGATTCCGTCTTGTATGTCAGGGCTTGCGGGCCACGACGTGCAAGCAGGCATGTTCGAAAATACTGCTCCTCTTTGGCCTCTCTGGAGCAGTCCTTTACCGTGTGACCCAAACGCTGCTAGAAACCCGTGTGAACACGCTGTTCTACACATGCGCACACTCTCGCAGACATTGAGTTAACGTCTTGAATCTTGCAGGGTCTCGATTTCTTTCTGGTGCTTTGCGCTTTAGATCTTGATGCTTCGTGCCGAGACAAGTCTCAAAACGGGGTACCCCTGGAATATGTTGGGCATTCTCAGGGAATGGTCGGCTCTTTCAAGGAATATATCAATATTTTGAAAAAACTACCACAGGTCCCGGGGAGCAGAACAAGGCCAGGCCTGAATCTTCGGGAGTTAAAGGCTCCCTGGACTGAAGGGTTTAGGGTTGAGGGTTTGGGATTTAGGTTTTTAGGATTGAGGGCTTCGGGCTTAGGATTTGGGGTTTACGGCTTCGGATTTAGAGTTTAGGGTTGAGGCTCTAGGGTACCCAACATGTGAAGCTGCCATCCCAACCAATATACTAGACACACCCATACCTCCTACAGTGGTGGGCAATGGTAGCGCAAAGCCCCTGAGCCGGACCCTACGTTTTCCACAGTGTGCCGGAGTGTCCAAGAAGAGATCTTGGGGAAGTTCCCTGAAATCATGGAGATTTAAAATTTGTGGCTTAGGGTTTTAAGATTTTCGGGATTAAAGCCCGAGGCCTGAGGCACGGTGGTGTTGAGAACTTACTTTTCATTCTTCCTAGTTGGGGTCAGTTCCTAAGCAGGCTACCTCCGTCAAAAACTGCAAGTTTGACCAGTTCAGACCCGGCATGTTCTGTTCCTGCCCTTGAAGTGAGAATCACACTCAGCTCCCTTCCAAAAGCCTCTTACTCGCAAGGCCGCAGTACTTGAAGCGTCGAACTATTCAGGCTCCTTTAGCTTTTGTTGCGCCCGTAAACCCAAACCGTCATCCCTAGAGCTTGCATGACCCCATAAGCAATCCCCACCTAATCCCGAACCCTAATCCCTATATCTATATACATACATATATATATATGTGCAAACTCTGAATACCCGAATCATCCCTACATAATTAGCGCCAAACCGTAGTCCCGGAACCTGATATAATCCCTAAATAATCCGTAACAAATATCCCTATACCTTATTTAGCCCCGAATAATCCCTACATAGCCCCTAACACTGCCCCGAACTCTGACCCCAAAACCTTGTATAAAATCGTGAGTAAGCTACTGTCTAAACTCCTAATATCCTCTTTAACAACGCCTATAGTAATACCCTATATATAATCCCCTATATAACCTCCCTTTAAGAGTTTAGACTATAGCTCATATAACGTGACCATCCCCGGCACGTGAGCTTCGACTGCAATCCTCGAGTTCAGGGTGGCATCCAGGTAGCGGGATGACTTTGCCTGAGTTCTACTGGTTTAGGGTTTAGGGTTTAGGTCTTACTGTTGATGGAGGAAATCTTGCACCACTTAGAGCCGCTAAACTACTGTAATTCCTAGGACTTCAGGGACGTAAGGTGGTGAAGGATTCCATCCATCAACAGTATTGCCGGCGCTTGGTGAAGAAGGGCTTCCAGGGTCCAACGGGTTTTGCCCCTCAACCCCTGAGCCCTAAACCCTATTAGTAGGTTTGGTGGGTTAGGGGTTGGGTGTTGGGTTTGGGTATGGTTGGGTTGAAGGTTTAGGGTCTCGAGTCTCGGGCTCGGAGTTGGGAAATTCAAAGTTAGGCATTTTTTGGCTTAGGACAGCCTAAGGACATGGGCCTTGGCGTGGAAGAACAAGTTTGCTGCTTTGTGCAGAAAGCAGGATTTAGGGTTCGAGAGGGTTGAAAGTTAAGACAGAAGTATCATGAAGCATGCAGACCGTATAGAGGTCGTCCTAGTACTTAGTTCCACAATTGGTGGCTCTGCCCGTGAGTGAGAACACGAGTCAGCCAGGCGTGCACTCACAATCTGGTCTGCCAGGTGTCATGAAGCATGAACTACTCTTTGTGTCCTGGAACATATGCGGAATATGAGGGAGTATGGGGAGGGTCGCTCATAAGGATTACACGGGATAGAAGCTAGTCCTAACCGTTTGTAATAACTCGGAACCCTAAATGAGGTCAGTGTCAGCACAGCTGAAATTGTTGTCTATGTACGGGCTCCTTCCAAACCCTGCTCTTATTCGATTGCATTTGACCTGGAGGCCTCTTTATGGGGTTTAGGGCTTAGGTCCTGAAACGATGTTGCCTGCTTTGTGGGGCTACAAGAAGAATAGTCTAACATTTGCCATAAGGATATTATCTCTCTCTAAAGCACGTCCACTTATTGTAGCGCAGCTCTGGACGTACATCCTTTATCTTGGTTCCAAAGTTTGGTATCCTTATAACCTAAACCCGGAAACCTAAAAGCTGAACTCTAAACCCTAAAACCTATATAGGTTGTGCAGGAGTTCATCCATCAGCCCTACATCCTAAATCTCAACTCCTCAACCCAGCACACCGAGGCCTATAAACCCTACAACCTGCTGAATAGGAATACTAGTAGTACTAAGAAAGTAATAGTAGTAGTTATAAGCTAGGGTCTATGGGGCTGAGGCTTTAGGGGCATCAACCCACAAACACAGACGGGAATGAGCGGAGGATGATGGAAGTGGGGACCATACACGTGAACGTACTGTACGAACCTGAATCCTCCACTGCTTAATGCATTACCCTAAGGCTCCAAATGGCCCAATGTAGGTCATATTTGTAGATTTTGGGGCCCAATGTAGGCATCATTTATAGACATGGAGCCCTAGGGTTAGGTCCAGATACAACCATCCAGCTACCATCTTTGGACACGGACTCGTCTTGGAAACTGTACACCTCAGCGGTTTGAGCCCTGGGGTGGATGATAAATTAACCTGTAGGGTTTAGGGCTTAGGTTGTAGTTTAGGATTTGGTGGTGTAGGGTTCAGGGCTCAGGGCATGCGTAAGTCAACAATCACCAGGAAATGCAAGACCACTCGCATCAATTTCGAATAGCTTTTCCAATCTGCTTTCATTCTGTAGCTACAAACCAACGCCCAGGCTGTAGGAGTCTGGAGATGGAGGTCCCAAAAAATTCTGGGGCCCGGCTTAGAGGGTCCCATTCTCAGGATTATAGTAATTATAGTGCTGAGAGGGTATGAAAGGGAAACCATCGGTTTTAGGGTTTAGGGGTCGCATTCTTAGGATTATAGTGCTGAGGGGGTATGGGAGGGGAAGCATCTGCTTTTTGCAAATATCCACACATGATTCCCTGGTCTGGCTGCAGCGTAGCTACGGGCACCTGTGTCTCAGTAACCCCATACAAATAATCAGGGTACACCCTTTATAAGGAGACACCAGAAAAATCGAAAAAGGGTACTACTGGGGTATCTGGAAGACGGAAAGCTCATGAACACGGGATTTGAAAAGTCATGAAAGATTGCGTCCCAGCACATGCACCAGTTTTCCTCACAAGGCTGACACTTGTATGTCAAATTCTGGTAGACAAAACACTAAATAATAAATTCTCATACGCTAAGCCCTAAACCCTAAATGCTGGCAAGGAAGCCCTAAATCCACAATTCTGGTACGCTAAACCTTAAGCCCTTCCTGGTACTGGTACACTAAACGCATCTAAACGCTAAAGCTTAATTCTAGTACACTAAACCTGAAACGCTAAACCCACTTTGGAGGTCCTCATGCTCCTATGCCTTAAAATGTGGCTCTCAACTTCTGACACGTGGCCGCATCCCCAAGGGCGCCTAAGTCTACATATATATTTATATATCCATATATATGGTACCCCCCGCCCCCCCCATTGACCAAGGTTTTTTCGAGAATGGCAATCAAAAGTGGTCTACTGTCCCTAAAGAACCAATCCTGTAGGTGAAAAGTGCTATACTGCGGCTATAAAAACTTTATTTAAAAAATTGCTTTAGTTTCAAAGCTTTTTTGTTTTCAAGGTAATCCTTTCCAAAAGCTTGGTTTTTAGGGATAGTACCGCACTTTCTGCCTCTGGGCTCTAAAAAGTGCTGTGCTGTCCCAATAAAACAAATCTTTTTGGTGGAAAGTGCTGTACTGTCCCAA